GTCTGCCACCACTGAGAACAGCCGAGCTCCATCCTCTTTGGAACCCCCCAGTGAGCCTACCTCAAGTGGCTAGTTTTGTGTGGTCACTTTCAATAAAGCATGCAGCCTAGTGTATTGCGCCTGGGACGCAGGAAAGCCCAGCTTCATTCCCGCTTCTGCCCCTGGCCTGCAGGATGCCTGTAAGCAAGTCACTTCCCCAGTCTCTGCCTCCGTGTCCCTAGCTGTAAAATGGGGAGGATGTACGGTGCTGAGAGCTCCGGTGCCGGTAAGCACTGTGGAAGATCTGGGTCTCATTACTAAAGTGCCACTGACAATTGAACAATAGGGGTATTGTAGGGCTACCACTGTCATATTGCACAATGGGGCCTTGATCCTGACTGGGTCTCTGGCCACTAACCCCATACAAAGCCCTACTGCTAACAATCTTTGGGGCTAGACAGCCCCACTCCTTTCCTCAGTAGCTTGGCCAGCCCCGCTCAGTTTGTGTACAGTGCAAACGCCAAGGAGGCAGCAGAGTCGATCATCTGTGTTGGCCCACCAGGGTCTCGCAGGGCCAGGGCTGTTTGCAACGTTCCCCCAAAAAATTATATGAAAAGGAAACAAACTTTTATTTTTGTTGTTTATTTTTTGGGGCCGATTGTCAAAACGCTGAATTTCCTGGAAACATTCGCCCAGCCGGCCACCCAGCGCGGCACCGGAGTTGGAACGGCAGGAGGAAGGTCCTTTCCTTCCAAGGAAGCCCTACCAGGGAGCTGAAAGGGGCCCTGTCACATGCTGCCAAAACAGCCGTTTTTCCATCCAAAACCAGTAGTGCTGGGAACCAGCAGGGAAGGGGAAGCTGGGGGCCAGCGGTGCAGGCTGCTGGGGAACCGCTCTTGTTTATGGCCCTGGGTAGGGAGGGGGATAATGGGTCTGGGAGTGCGTTATGGGGTTGTGTCACTGGGACGAGTGGATGGGCTCAGCAGACCAGAGGTGGAGAAGGGGCTGTGGAGGGGGTAGAGACGGTGACTCCAGGGGTGACCAGAAGCTGGATTGGTTATACATGGTGCAGCACTGGGGAAGGGAGGAAACAAGCAGCCAGCCAAGGACTTGCATTTCTAGGGGGCTGTTCCTCCAAGAGCACCGGCCGCTAGACATGGATCGTTCATCCAGCACTGAATTGCAGCCGGGGCCGGCTCCAGGCACCAGCTTAACAAGCAGGTGCTTGGGGCAGCCAAGGGAGAGGGGCGGCACCTGTGGCAATTCGGGGGCGGCAGGTCCCTCACTCCCTCTGGGAGCGAAGGACCTACCACTAAACTGCCGCCGCTGATCGCGGTCTTTTTTTTTTTTGCTTGGGGCGGCAGAAATGCTGGAGCTGGCCCTGATTGCAGCCACCTCGTGTGTGGAGCGTTTTGGCTGGGTAACAGCAGACAGGAACGCTAAGTGCCGGTCCAGACAAGGAGGACCGAGCACGGTTTTCTACAGAGGGCTCTGGGCTGCTTGCAGAGCTGGGCAAACCACACAGCTTCCACTACACTAGTGTCCTGAGAGCTAGGGGAATCTCTCCAAGTGGCTGAGTGCCACAATCCTGAGCAAGATGCCCAAAAGCTGTGGGGCCTGCACTCTGGCATGCAGACCCAATCCCGTCTAGGCCACCTGCTAGCACCAGCTGAGTTCAGCCCCTGCACAGGGCTGTGGCTGGAGCCATCACAGCTCTTGGAGCATGGCTTTGTCTCCCACCAGTGGCTGCACCAGGTAAGTACATCATGAGGCTGCGACTGTAGCCATGGGGCCAGCTTTATTCGGCGATGGCTTCTCTGGGGCATCATTAGGTGCAATGACTGGGGGCATTGAACAGCCTCCACAGCCAGGTGTGACTCACCTGCTACTGGCCCTGCCAGGTACGCAGCTGAGGCGTCTGCTACCCCCAAACTGACCAGCTGGTGTTTAGCTCCGGCAGTGGAGTTGCCCAAACGCGGCCCAGCCAGCAAGCATGGCACTGGCAATGTGTGGCCCAGGCCTGAAAAGGCAGGATTGGGCTGCCGTGATCACGAGAAGGCACATGCGAGCCATGAGCTCCACACTAGAGACACGGCCAATGCCCCGAACCACTGACCTGGGTCCTGCGCTATGCAGTGAGCTACCGCCCACGCCAGAGCTAGCTAGCGGGTCAGGCTGAGCCGTGCAGACCTTGAAGCCAGCATGGGCGCACCCTGATCCTCAGTTACCCCACACACATGGCGGGGGGGAGAATCTCCCAGCATACGGTGCATGGCAGGAGCTGCGGATAGCTCCGTGTGAGGGAGGCAAACCTGGGAGAGGGCTCAAACAGCAGTTTGGCTGGTGGGGATGCACTAAGCAATGGGGGCTAAGCCTGGTTCATGTCTCTAGTCCATCCAAGACCTAGATGGCCCCTGATAACCCTGTGCCCCGCTGAGCTCTCCCTGGGGGGTAAGGGGGGTGGCCCTCCTAGCCAGGCTGGGGCTCATGCGATGCTCCTGGAAGCTTCTTCCCCCATGCCGGGGTGGAGAGGGGGGTCTTCCCTCATGGATCAGCTTCCCCAGCTCCACGCCAGCGGCCACAGCCTGGCTGGCCACGGGCACAAAGCTCAGTTGAGGGGTAGGGAACTTAAAGGCGGCTTCACCAGGTGTGGGCCCTGCCTAGGTGTGGTGGGTGTGAGCACCCCCTGCTGGGTCAGCTGCAGCTGGCATGTGGTGCCCAGGCTGTGCCCGGTCCCGTGGACACAGCGTGCTAGTGCCCCGAAGATGGCAGGAACTCAGAGGCCCAATGCTGCAGAAGGGTTTTATTGGAAGGCCGCGGGGCTGCGTCTGAGCCAGGTAGAACTAGGTCACCTGCGGCGAGAGAAGGATGCAGAGCTGCAGCCGCGGAGCTGGGGCCTAGCCATTAGGAGCCCCCCCGACAGGCTCAGTTGTTGGCCATGATGCTGTCGATCCATGGGCGGAGCAGGCTCACGCGGGCGTAGACGCCTGGCGAGGTAGTGGCGCAGCGGCTGCTACCCCAGGACACGATGCCCACCAGATACCAGACTCTGTTCTCCTGGCAGACAAGGGGGCCGCCGGAGTCACCCTGTGAAGCAGATGGAGATGCAGGCTCAGCCGCCAGGGCTTCAGAGAGCTGGGCACCAGGCCCTCCAGTGCCAGCCCCTTGCCCAGACACCCTGCCAGGGATCATCCCAAAGTGGGGCCCCTGCTAGCCTGGATCTCGCCCTCCTGTGCCACGCTGGGGAGGAGCTGCGCTGGAGAGATCAGACCAGGAGCACCCACCCCTGCCCAGGGCAGAATGCCTGCCTTTGCTGCCAGAGGGACAAGGACCCTGTCCCTGGATTGGCACATTCTCCCCGGCCTGGTGCCCCCAAGATGAGGAACCACGGCCAGCCAAGAGCTCACGCTCCCCTGCTTCCCACCCTGGGCCACAGGCACCATCCTAGCCAAGCAGCAATGACTGAGCCAGTCAGTGCTCTGGACAATGCCTCTATGGGCCCAGGCAACAGGCATGAGGGTCTCACGCCCTGTGTGGGATCACTGTGCCCTTCCCCCACACACACCCAGACTGGGGAGCAGAAGACCACAGCAGGGCTCAAGCAAGGTAGCCATGTGTGGCAAGGCCGCAGGGCTAGTAGAGGCGCAGAGCGGCCAGCAGAGGGCATGAGCCTGCGCTGGAGGTGGAAGGAGGTTGGCCAGCGGGGCAGCCCCAGCCCGGGGCCATACCATGCAGGAGGAGGAGCCGGCTGCTCCAGCGCAGATCATTGAGTCCAGGATGTTGCCGTCCCAGTAGTTTTTACACTCCTCATTAGTCAGCAGGGGCAGCGCCGTCTGCTGCAGCTTGCTTGGGGTGCTTAAGGCTGGAAAGGGAGCGGAGAGAGGGCAGGGTCAGGGCTGCACCCCACGGAGCCGCCACCTGCATTCCACATGACATGGCGCATGGCCTGTGTGGCTCACATGTGCCGCACGTGGGAGCTGGGTGCGCTGCCAAACACACCCTATGGAACGGGTGAGCTGCACAGGAGCCCCCCGTGACCAGCCTGTCCTGCTACCGAGGCACAGCCCCTAGCTCCCCAGTGGGGCTGGGCGTCCCATGCACCCTGCTGAAAGCTGGGGCAGGCGGACGGGCAGCCCAAGAGCAGGCACTGGGTTCCCAGGTCCAACTCATTGCAGAGCCACAGGCCGGGCTCTCCAGGGACTGGAGATGCCAGAGGGCTCTGGCCCCAGGCGGAGGAAAAGGCTCTTTCACCAACAATCCCCCACTTGCCCTGGCTCGCGTTCCCCTGCCCACACATGGGGAGCTGGCCAGGCCTTCTCAAGCAGCATCCCACAGCAGCCTGGCAGCGGTGGGCTCCCAGGCTGGCCTGCCAGCTGGCCAGTCAGTGCTTTGCGTGCTAGGAGTTAGATCCCCCCCCGCCCACACCCCCAGGGCCAGCTCCAGCCCTGCTCTGCCAATGCCTCAATGCACAGCTGCCTCAAAGTCCGACCTGTGGATCCCCCATGCCCATGGGTGGCTCTAGGTGGGCACCAGGCGCATTGGGTCTAGACCAGACACATCATTATAGAAGGGCCACAGCCCTGGCCCTTACCACCTGCGTAGAAGGGGCTCAGTCCAGGCCAGGCTGGTGACAGGAACAGAGCCCAATGGTTTCTCACACCTTCCCTCAGGGAATGCTCTGCGCATGGGGGGGGCACCAACACGCCCCGATGCCAATGAGGGTGTGAACCCCAGGGGGCTGACAGCTCAGTACTGCCATGTGGGAAAACTCATGTACCCCTCCACCCCCGGGGCATCCCTCACTCCCCACGCTGAATGTGCTTTGCAATCACCAGAGTGCACAGCCTCTCAGCATTACTGTCCCCCGCCTACAGGTGGGGAAACTGAGGCATAAGGTGCGTAACTAACTGCCCTTGATCTCGCGATTCCTAGCCCTGGGTCCTACCCCGCAATGCGTGTGAGTGACCCAGCCAAACTGGCCATTGAAGATGGCCCTAAGGTCATGCGGGCTCCACTCCCCAAGGCGCCAGGAGGACGTACCGTTGTAGCGGGTCTTGCCCCAGCCGGTGGTGACGCAGAGCTGGCCACTCCGGTACTGCTCCCCGGCGGCTGCCAGACACACCGGGGCCACAGTGCTGCCCAGCTCCGCGGCCGTGGCCAGCTTGATGAGCGCAATGTCATTATTGATGGTGTTGGAGTTATACTGCGGGTGGGTGAAAACCTGCAGCAGAGAGACAGGTTCCTGTAGCTACCCCTCCCCAACGGCAGGGGTACTCACATGGACCCAGTTGCCATGGTGCCTGGCCAGGGTACATTCAGCGGGCACTGAGACCAGCCGGCATCACCAGGCCTGGGGCAGCCGCTGAGTCTGCTCCTTAGAGCTAGCAGGCAGCATGTGGCAGGCAACCTCCCACTGCTCCCAGTGCCTGCTGCACCCAGAGAGAGCTGCTGGGAGCTGCAATCTCTCAGGAGGGCACCGGGTCCCATGGGGCGCAGGCTGTGTGCGGAGGCAGTGGCTCTCCACGCATGGGGCACGCCCCGCATGGCTGGAGCAGGGCAGCAGTCAGATCCCTCGGGGGGCCAGGCTGTGCCCAGCAGAGGGCAGGGGAGACAGGGCCATAGCCTGACACTGCAGTGGCTGGCACAATTGGGTGGCTCTGGAGGGGAACCCCCACTGCACCCCTGCAGGGGCAGCTGCCCCAGCTGAGCTCCCTCCGCTGGCACAATGCCCCCAAGCCTGGAGCAGATACACTCACACAGGAGTTCACAGCTGTTCCCCATCTCACCCCCCGGAGAGCTCACTCTGTAGAGCGGGGCTGCACAGAGGCAGCGAGCAGACAGCAACCCTGGAGGCTCATGGCACCCACCGGGGGGTTGTACCCAGAGGCTCAGCGTCTGTGCCAGGCTCCCCCGCCTGCAGTGGGTCGGCACCGAGCAAGCACTCACTCACCTGTTGGATGGCCAGTTTCTGCACTTTCTCTTGGGAGGAGCTGCGGTCGTGTTCCCCGAGCACCACCACGTTGGATTTTCTGGGGCCAGAAGAGAGGGCAGTTAGTGTCCAGGGAGAGCTGGGATCACCCCCAGCGAAGGGCGATGTGTGGGGCACTGTGGGATGGGGAGCTAGCAGCCAGTGGTGCCAAGCTAGCCCCATCCCTGCTGATCCTGTCAGCGCTCACTGACGTGCCATTGGGCCCGTGAGTTGTAGCTGGTGCATTTGGCCATGCAGCGGGGGTTCCTGCCTGACTGGGGCTAGTACCCAGGTGCACCCGGGGCTGTTCACCCGTGCAGAGGGAGCCTTCCCCTGCACGTAGCTGGGGCCTTCCATGCGGGCAGCGACCTGGCTGGATCAGGCACAGTTTTCCCCTTGGTCTGTTTGATGGGTTAGCCCATGCAGCCTGGCATGCTGGGGGCAGCCCAGCATTACGGGGTGGGGGGCTGGAACAATCGTCCGGGCGCTAGGTGTGATCTCGAAGGGCAAGGGGAAGTGACATCTTCATGGCTGGGGCTGGAGCCTGACCCTGGGCTAGCAGCACTCAGCTGCCCCACAGGGCCCATCACCCCCTTCAAGCGGCATCAGACAGGCTGCTAAGCCATGTGTCTTATCTACCCTCCTCCCCTCCCCCCCCCAGCCCATCCCCAGGGCGGTCCCCACTCACGTCACTCCGCAGTGCGCAGCTGTCACCACCCAACGCTCGCTGACCAGGGAGCCGCCACAGAAGTGCCAGCTGTTCGTCTGCGACTGCTGCAATTGCCAACCATGGGGAGACTGTAAGGCCCTAGAAAGGCCCCCCGCCCCAGGGCCCATGCCCCCCGGATATTGCCAGCAAGGTCGAACCACACTGAAAACAATTGCAGTGTCCAGCTAAGGCATGGCCCTCGGCAGCTAGGAGGGCACCTTCCCTTGGCCTCAGCCACAAGCTCTCTGCAGCCTCCCCAGAGGGTCACTGGCAGCAGGGACTGAATCTGGCACCTCTGCTTCTATGAGCAGGAGCCACACGGGCCTGTGCTTGTCATACACCATGGGGTGGGGTAGGAGTGCCCTATTGGGTGGGGGTAGTGCCCAAGAGCCGCCCTTCCCACGACTTCATCCCCAGCGTCTGCGCTGCAGGAGTACGGCTTCTGGGAGCTGAAAGGGGGGCCAGGGCCGGCTCTACCATTTTTGCCGCCCCAAGAATGGACGGAATGCCGCCCCTTAGCATGTGCCGCCCCTTAGCATGTGCCGCCCCTTAGCATGTGCCACCCCAGGCACGTGCTTCCTCCGCTGGTGCCTGGAGCCGGCCCTGGTGGGGGCAGGGCTTGGAGATGGGACAGAGCCATGGGGGCGGAGCCAAGCAAGGAAAGAGTTCGGGTCACCACTGGGGCGGGGCGGGGCGGGGCATGAAGGGAGTAGACAGGGCACCCGGCACCAACAGAGAGACATCCCCACCCTTCTTACCTGCAGGGAGACCTGCCAGGGCCAGGATCTGGGAACCGCCTCCTCACCATTCACAATGCGGGCGTAGCCGCTGATGATGGGCTGGATTTCCTGCACACCACAGCCTGGCAGGGAAAGGGAGTCAGCCTGGGTCTCCACCCGCTGCCCACTGGCACCCTGGGGCCACAGCGCCAGCTACCCAGAGACAGCTCCAGCCCATCTCCCTCCTGCAGCCTGGTGAGACCATGGGCAGTGCCTGGCGGAACAATTGCCAGAGCCTGGCCCAGAAGGGGTTACGCGGAGGAGTCTGAGATTGTGGAACCTTCCTATTCAGAATGAAAACCCAGAGACACTGTCTGGGAGTCATGGCCCTGGGGCAGCCTGCCTGGCACCCTGCAGCATCACCAACCCCTGTGGCAGCCGTGCATTTAGTGTATATACATACACAATGATGGGGTCTAACTTAGCTGGTCCACTCATGAACGAGATCTTGAAGTCATTGTGGATAGTTCTCTGAAATCATCCACTCAATGTGCAGCAGCAGTCAAAAAAGCAAACAGAATGTTGGGAGTCATTAAGAAAGGGATAGATAACACAGAAAATATCGTGTTGCCTCAATATAAATCCACGGTACGCACACACCTTGAATACTGCGTGCAGATGTGGTTGCCCCATCTCAAAAAAGCTATAGTAGAGTTGGAAGAGATACAGAGAAGAGCAACAAAAATGATTAGGGGTATGGAACATTCCGGATAAGGCTTGGAAAACAGATGACTGGGGTGGGGGGGATATGCTAGAGGTCTATACAATCATGACTGGTGTGGAGAAAGTGAATAAGGAAGTGTTATTTACCCCTTCATTTAACATACGAACCGGGGTCACCAAGTGAAATGAATAGGCAGCAGATTTAAAACAAACAAAAGGAAGTATTTCTTCACACAGCACACAGTCAACTTGTGGAACTCCTTTCCAGGGGATGTTGTGAAGGTCAACAGCCCCAGAGCACCCTGTGCCAAGTGCCTGGGGGTCAGCCAGAGCAGTCCCTCTCCTGGCATCCGAAGGAGCTTGACTGGCCCAGCTGCAGAGCAACTAAGAGCACAGCTCCGGTGACAAAGCCCAGCAGCCCCCACGCCACAGCCGAGCAGCAGGTAGCTGGGCCCCGGGAGGCCCTGCTCAACTCAGCAGGCCCAGGCACTCCTGCCTTAGCACTTTTTAATAGTTCAGCGGGGAAAGTAATCTCTGGCACACGCTCAGTGCCGGCCGGTGTCCACCAGCCTCATGTGCAGCACAGGCTCCCCTGTGCACATGGCTGCCTCCCAGCTGCATTCACGCACTTGAGCGCAGTATTTGGGCATCGGGGCCACACAGCTGATGAAAGGGGAGCGGGACCCGGTCGCCTGTGACACACACAATCATGATTGGCTCCACGCCAAGCCCATTCCCAGCCTGAGTGCTCTCAGCCACGCTAGAATCATTCCCGCTGGTCCACTCCCACCACTGCTGCGTCAGCAATAGCAGCGCTGGAGGAGCCTGGGTGGTGGCATTTTAACCCTCGCCCAGGTATTAAGCACGATGCGAGTGCAGACACAGCCAGTGGGGAATATTTCACCTGCCAGCTCCCAGCCATTCGTGCTGGTCACACAGAAAGAACCTTGTATTTATACCCCACTCTTCACGCCTGAAAACAGCTGAGCCACTTTCCCACAATTCACCACTAGGCAGAGGCCAAACCTAGACTATTCCAGCTGCCCAGAGTGAGCTCCAGAGAGTTACTGCACCAGACTGCAGGCAGGTGGTGAGAGCGGCAACCTTATCTACAGCACTCGCTGCCGCTGTTACAGCAGACATTATCCATTGCTTGGCCTGCTGCTGAAATGCAGCCAGCTCTGGTGTGGAACGTAGCAGCTGCTTAACAGCCCACAGCAACACCCCCCCACAACATTTTAGAGACGACACTGAAGACTATTGTCTCTCTTAAGCACACGGAGGGGCACTGAAGGAGGCACAAAGTAACTAGCCAAACTGGCCTGGATTAAACCACCCTGGTCTGGCAACTGGTGCAGCATTTTGGCTGCTGGCAAGTGCAATAGCAGCAGATTCAAGACTCAAGGGCTTTTAATCAAGCAAGATCAAAGCCCTTTACAAGGAGATCAGGATCATTAGCCCCATTTTACAGAGGGGAAACTGAGGCACAGAGCAGGGCAGTGCAATGCCCAAGGTCACCCAGCAGCACAGTCAGGAATAGAACACAGATCTCCTAGGTCCCAATAGAGTTCCCTGTCCCCTATGCCACACTGCTGATGAAGCTAAAGGGGATTCCTGGACACAGCCAGCCCCAGGCATCTCTCTCTAGTTTCCAGCCTGACCAGCACAGTCTGCGCTGCTATGTCCCCACACAGGGCCTCCGGAGCCCGGATGAGGCTGTCGCTTAATGGATTATGCAGCCCAAGCAGAGAAGGGCCCGCCTGGCTTACCATGAGCCGTGCCGAGGAGCGCCAGGCAGGAGAGCAGCCACAGAGCAGCCATGCTAGCAACGAGGCTGAGGCGTGCAGACAGGGCAGACGAGACGAGGCTGCAGGTCTTTTATCCCCAGTGCCAGTGTGGGTCAGAGTAGGGCCAGTGAGGGGACTGGAGGCCATGGGAACATCCGCTGCAAGGCAAACATGCCACCCCACGCTCCCGTGATACCGCGATTGATTACTGTATTGGCAGGAGTTGTGGGCACTTTTTTCGTGAAGTGGATGTATTTTTAGAAGCAGGGCAGCTGGTTTGCTTTCCAGGCTGGCTCCCGTGGCGAAGAGAGGGGTTAGCCGCCATCAGGAAGGGCGTCAGATGTGGCCCATTTCCAGGAGGAAAATGGGCTTTTCCTCTGCATTGGTATGAGACACTCTGCATGTGCCCTGCTGTGCCAAAGGGGACACCAGAGCCAGGGGTTAGTACAGCCGCCACCCATTCCTTTCCCCCCTGCCATTCCATTGAGCATCACAATCAGCTGCTTCTGGGGCCCAGGCAAGGCCTGGACTCATCTGGGTGGGCAGGATTCTCACAGCAGGAAACTAGACGCCCTGACCCGTGCCTGGAGAGAACGGGGGTCGGAGCCGAGGAGCCCCCTTGCATTCTGTTTACAGCACTGCCCCTCTAGCAGGCTGCATTGCACGGGGATGCCAGCGGGCAGTGCATCCCCCAGCGCCTCTGACAGGGGCAGGCCTGGGCCAGCCCCAGGAACCTTTTGGGGAGCTCTGCCCAGCCTTCATAGCGCCCAGAAGGGGAAATGGTTCCGGTTGATATCACAGCCCTGGCCAGCAAGGTCAGTTCTGCAGGGCTAGGCCAGGATGCCAATGCCCCAGGACTGTGGCTTGGGCCTGTCCCTGATGGGGGGCGTTTGGGGGAGGGGGACTCTCCTCCTTTCCATGCCAAAGGCCGTCATCTCCAGCAGCGCCCTTCCATAGCTGGTGGCACCTCTGTCATCCCAGCCCCCCCACTCCCTGTGCTTGGGTCACCAAATTACCATGGCCGATAAACTCTTCTCCTGGGCTGACCCCGCTGCTGTCGGAAGCAGCTGCCTTTCCCAGCCTTATCGAGCGTGAAGTGCACACCTGTGGTCCACAGGCAGCAGGGATGAGATACCGCTTCCGGCCTTCACACCAACACCTGCCTCCCTGCACAGTGCTTCTCACACCCAGCGGGCCTGGCACAACAGCTCCCCGCCAGCGGGAATTAGCCAGCAGCCCTCAGGCTGGGCCTTCCCCTGGCCCAGACATGCTCCCTCCCAGCTTTCAATGGGGCAGCCGTGGGCACTGCCCGGACGCCGCAGACTTGGGATCTATCCCTGCTCAGCCACCCACCTGCTGCATGGCAGTCCCTTCCCCTCGCTGGGTCTCCCTTTCCCCTCCCACCCTTTGTCTTGTCTAGTGAGACCCGTAACGCTTCTGGCTCTCAGTGCATCTGGCCTGCACCCAGCACAATGGTCCGGGCAAGATTCTACTGTAATCTAACTGACAATGCTCGCAGGTATCACAACACGCCACTTACACAGTCTGTTCCTGGCTACTGCCACCCTGCGTGCAGGCCTCTAGGCTGGGAGGACGCGGGAGGAGGCATTTTACCAAAGGCTGTGGGTTTTTTTCCTATCCTGAAATAGCCGGATGATCTCAGAGGGTGACGCTATGGCAGCTTTCTGGGGCAGAGACTGGCTTTTTTTTCTGTGTTTGTACCTAGCGCAACAGTGCCATGGGCCATGGCTGGGCTCCTAGGAAGTACACCTCGTAAATAATGTACAGCTCCCAGCACAGCGGGCACCCAGCCCATGGCTGGTCTCCCAGGCTCTACTGTAATACAACTAATAAATAATGTACAGCACCCAGCACAATAGGTGCCTGGCCCTTGGCTGGGCTCCTAGACACTACTGTACCACACCTAATAAACGAGGCTGCGAGTTTGTCACGGAAGTCATGGATTCTGTGACTTTCCGTGACCTCTGTGACTTCTGCAGCAGCTGGTGTGCCTGGCCTGGGGGCAGCTCAGGCAGGAGTCAGTCGCACTGGCCGCTGCTGGGGCAGTCTTGGGCCACTGTGTCCCTCTCCCCCAGCAGCAGCAGGAGTTTGGGCGTAGGAGGGGGCAGGGGATTAGGGCACGGGACGGGGTGAGGAAGGCTCTGGCAATACCAGGTTAACAATGGTGTCAGTGGCGCAATGGAGCCAGGCCCATGCTCAGAAGGGGCCTCAGCCTGCCCTGTTTGCCCTGCGCACCGAGACCCCACCACCCTGCTCACCGCTAGCTCCTCTTAGCCAGCCTGCCGGCCGGCCAAGACTAGCCCCTGGCCCCACCCGCCGGCTCCTCTCTGCCCCCTGGCTGGATCCCAGTGCACCTCTGGCTCTGGGGAGTCTCTGCTTCCAACCACCTGTGCGGCCCTGCCTGGGACTGGGGCAGAAGCCTGGCCAGTCTCAGCCAGTTGCAGGGAGGACAGTGTGGGGGGCTTGGCTGGGCCCATCCAGGCAAGTGGGTCCTGAGGGAGCCCGGCTGGGGCAGGACCTGGCCTGGCTGATGGCGCCGCTCCTGGGGGGCCAGAGCGATTCTCCGCCTGGCAGACACAGTCTGCAATGGTGTTGTGCAGGGCACTGGGCATTATTGGGGGAGTCTGGAGGGGCATTGGGCATAATGGGTCTGGGGAAGGCTCTGGCCCGGGGGGGGGCAGAGGTGCTGAATTTCTGATTTCCCCAGGGGTGCTTGACCCCACTCTGCCCCAGGTCCTGCCCCCACTCCACCCTTTCCCAAGCCCCATCCCTGCCCCACCTCTTCCTGCCCCCATTCTTCACCCTCCCCAGAGCGCCCCCAACCTCACTCTGCTTCTTCCTGCCCTTGCTCCTCCCCCTCCCCCCCAGACTTCCTACCAGCCGCTGAACAGCTGATCAGCGGCGGGCGGGAGGTGCTGGGGGCGAGGGGGAGGAGCTGATCAGCGGGCCTGTCAGGGGTGTTCAGCACACACTATTTTTTTTTCTGTGGGTGCTCCCAGAGCACCCATGGAGTCGGCGCCTATGGGGTGTTGTGGGGGGGGGGAGCTGTGTGGTGCGGCATGGGCCCGCCCCCGAGACGAAGGGGCATGCTGGCAGCACAGGGCTGGCAGCCCACTGTGTGTCTGACAACTGCCAGTTTGTAAATAGTGCCCTGCACTGGACCGAGCAGAGCGGGGCTGCTCCTGCCATGCTATGCCCCATTGCCCTTGGCTGACCCCTCACGCTGCGGACCGACCTCCCCGCGCCATGCTCTATTGCTGAGGTTCTCAGCCAATGGGAGCTGCAAAGCTGGCATTCTGGGTGGAGGCAGCGTGCAGAGCTGCCTGGCCACGCCTCCGCCTAGAAGCTGAGCGAGAGGGGTGTCCCCACTTCCCGGAGAGGCATGGAGCCATGTAGGGAGCCGACTGGCCCTACCAACCGCCGCCCCCTCCCCACCACCAGCACCAGTGGTGTCCCGGGTCACCCCCCCTCCCCGAGCACCCACAGCACCCCTGGGCTGCCCCTCCCCCCAGTTTTAGATGGGGGTATATAGTAGAAGTCATGGACAGGTCACGGGCCGTGAATTTTTGTTTACTGCCCATGACCTGTCCATGACTTTTACTAAAAATACCTGTGACTAAAACGTAGCCTTACTAATAAATAATGTACAGCACCCAGGACAGCGGCCCAAATAATGTACCCACCTGGCCCATGGCTGAGCTCCTAGGCACTACCGTAATACAGGTAATAAATAATATTAGCAATAATAAATGGTCCATCCCGAAGTATTTTCCCTCCTTGCAAACTATCTCGCTGGAAAGGACAGATAGGAAGACTAGTAAGATGCCACGGAGCTCTTTAATGACCTGAGGAAAAAAGGAATCCTACAGAAAGTGGGAACATGGACCAATTGCTGGCTGAAAGGCTGTATTCAAAGGGTAGTTATCAATGGTTTGCTGCCAAACTGGGCCAATGTATATAATGGTCCTGCAGGAGTCAGTCCTGGGTCCGGTACTAGTCAATCTTTTCATTAATAACGCGGAGAGGGGTCGCAATACGCTGAAGGACAGGGTTAGAATTCAAAATGACCTCAACAAATTGGAGAATTGGTGTGAAATCACCAAGATGAAATTCAATAAAAACAAATGCAAAGTGCTACACTTAGGAAGAAAAAAAATCAAATGCACAACTACAAAATGGGGAACAACTGGCTATATGGTGGTACTGCTGAAAAGGCTCTGGGGTTCTAGCAGATCACAAATGACATAGGAGTCAGCAGTGTGATGCAGTTGCAAAAAAGGCAAATATGGTTCTGGGGTCTGTTAACAGGAGTGTCGTATGTACGGCACGGGAGGCCATTGTCTCACTCGGCACTGGGGAGGCCTCAGCTGGATACTGGGTGCCGTTCTGGGCACCACACTTTGGCAAAGATGTGAACAAACTGGAGCTAGTCCAGAAGAGAGCAACAAAACTGATCCAAGGTTTAGAAAAACTGACCTGTGAGGAAAGGATAATAAAACCTGGCCAAGTTTAATCTGGAGAAAAGACGACTGAAGGTGGGGACCGGATAACAGCCTTCAAATATGTTACAGGCTGTTACAAAGAGAACGGTGATCAATGGTTCTCCAAGGCCACTGAAGGTAGGACAAGACGTAATAGGCTTGATCTGCAGCAAGGGCTTGTGACGTTATTGACATAAACTATGACCATATAGATAATTGTTGCAACCATTGTTATATATTTGCAGCAAATATTATACAAAGGTTGTCGTGTAAGGTGTCTATAAAAAGGTTATGCTTTGCTGGTTATGATTATGCTATCTGTATGTGTGTATCATTTTTGTAGTACCACCATATAGCCAGTTGTTCCCCATTTTGTAGTTGTGCATTTGATTTTTTTTCTTCCTAAGTGTAGCACTTTGCATTTGTTTTTATTGAATTTCATCTTGTTGATTTCACACCAATTCTCCAATTTGTTGAGGTCATTTTGAATTCTAACCCTGTCCTTCAGCGTGCTTGCGACCCCTCTCCGCATGATGTTACCTGCAGATTTTATAAACATACTCGCCATTCCATTGTCCGCGTTATTAATGAAAAGACTGACTAGTACCGGACCCAGGACTGACTCCCGCAGGACCATTATATACACTGG